TATGTATCTAGTACTTCAGTCCAACTGCAAACTGAATATACATAACTTTTACTGCACTGGTACCTGAAAACTAGATTGGGCAGTGTGTGAAATAAGTGTGTTAGGGAATGCTGCATATAAAGTTGCATAGGGGATGTTGTATATGAAAATGTACATAGTAGGGAATGCTACATATAAGTATTTTATTTTATTTTATTAAAAAACAAAACAAAACAGAGATTGATGCAGAAATTGAACCCAGTAGGCTTCAATACATGCAAGTGTGAGATTGACACAGGCCAGAAACAGACTCATCCATCCAAACTAAGATTAAGGACATATCTACATAAGTCATTTGTAGAGGTTTCTTCCTGCCCTTGCATCACTCCAGAGAACACAGGGCCAAAGGTCCAATTCAACTGCAGATGGTGTTCACATGGGAAGAGCAGTCTTGCAGCAAATTTGGGCCACCCGTGCTTTAAAGTGAAAGACTCTCTATTTGCTCCAGATCTTCCCAGAAAGTCCAGAGCATTCCAGATGAATGGCAAGTGGCTATTTACACAGCATCATGCTGTGCCCACCAACTGCTGCCACTCCTCTGAGATCACAACAAGGTGCCTAGACATGTAATCAATGTTGGACACCTTGGCTCTGGCCCATGTCATTGACACTGGGCACCTTGGTTCTGGCCAGCAGTGGCAGACAGCACAGTGGTATACTGTGTAGACAGCCTCCTGGCATTGCTCCAGAATATACAGATAATTGGGGTGGTGGTGGTGGTAGTGGTGAAAATTCAGGGCAGTTCAGGGGCCAGAATACTCTGGGAGAAGCCCAAAGTATTCTGGCCAGTGTAGACCCACCCTAAATCTGTCCTTCCCTTAAAATAACTTTCCATGGCAAATGGTAGCATGTAAAGAAAATTGTATCATCTCTCCTCATGCAGGTAGAGCCTGAGGTGAAAATTAGTGAAGTATGTAAACTGAAGAAACAGAACTGAATGTTTAAAGGAAATTTAAGTCTGGAAAACCCTTTTTAGTTCCAGTACTTTATTATTCTCTTTGTCAGTAAAAAAAAAAAAATATCAATTTTATACTAAAATATTTTTGTTCCTGACAATGTTCCTTCATTAGTACTTCAGCCCAACTGCAAACTAAATATACATAACTTTTACTGCACTGGTACCTGAAAACTAGTTTGGGCAGTGTGTGAAATAAGGATCTTTTACTAGCATTACATTTTGAATAAATTCCACAGTGGTAACATGTTTTGATAATTCAGCCATACATTCTCCAGCAAAAGCATGATGAGAATAAATTCTTCAGTAGAATGCCTATTTGAAATTTAATAATATTGCTTCATACACTGTGTCAACAACTCTGAAATATCTTGTTTGAAAGATGCAGTTGCTTTCCACTGGGAATGAGATGAAAATTATTTTTTTGGCATGTAAAATAATCCTTAGCCTTCCTCAAAACATAATGAATTCTGATTTAAAATTCATTTTAAAATATGCCTTTTCTATCAGTTCAAGCAATTCAGATTTGCATTCAGAGCTAAATAATAAATTCAGAATCTATTCTCTGTCATGGATGCTAACCTTGACTACTTCATCTTGTTAACTTTGAATTGAACAGAATAACTGGACAGGTTTTATTACCTTTCAGATCAAAGTGTGTGCCAAGACAAGAAAAAGGTTATCAACAGGCTGTCCCACAACAGGACATAATACTTAAGGATGGGTCCAGTTTATACATTTGATGGCCACCATATCTGATGGCTTTTGGAAAGTATATGGCCATTACCAGGCTCATAGAGTGGCTAGGACAAAGGAAGGTGTAGGTACCCTACCAGTGTGGAGGTACTTTGTTGTTAACTGCCTTTGCATCAATCTCAATCCATGGCGACCCTGTGGATGAGACATCTCCAGGAACCCCTGGCCTCCACTGCTCTGTCCAGCTCCTGTAAACTCGCACTTGTGATCTCTTTAATAGAGTCCATCCATCTAGCATGTGGCCTTCCTCTCTTTCTACCTCCCTTCACCTTTCCTAACATTATTGTTTTTTTCCCCAACAATTCATGCCTTCTCATGTTGTGTCCAAAGTACGTCAGCTGAAGTTTTGTTATCTTGGCTTCAGGGATATCTCCAGGTTGATCTGCTCTAAGACACCCCCTTTTTTTTTTTCCGTCTTTTTGGACATCCACGGGATCCTCAGCACTCTTCTTCACCACCTCATCTCAAATGCATTAATTTTCTTTCTATCTTTTTTCTTAACTGTCCAGCTTTCACATTCATACATGGTAATGGGGAATACAATGGCTTGTATGATTCTATCTTTTGTGCTCAGTTGTATATCTTTGCATTTTAGGATCTTTTCTAGTTCTTTCATAGCTGCCCTTATCATTCTTAATCTTCTTCTGATTTCCTGGCAGCAGTCCCCATTTCTATCAATATTTGATCCCATATATGAGAAGTTTTTTACTATTTCTATTACCTCATTGTCTAGTTTGAATTTGTGTAAATTCTCCGTGGTGATTATTTTTTTCTTTATGTTCAACAGTAAGCCTGCCTTTGCACTTTCTTCTTTGATCTTTCTTAGTAATTGTTCGAGATCTGTGATGTTTTCTGCTAGCATTATGGTATTGTCAGCATATCTCAGATTGTTGATATTCCTTCCTCCTGTTTTCATTCCTCCTCCTTCTGTGTCCAAGCCTGCTTTTCTTACAATATGTTCTCTGTATAAGTTGAAAAGGTAGGGTGATAAGATGCAACTTTGTCTGACCCCTTTGTCAATTGGAAATCATTCTGTTTCTTTATATTCTGTTCTGACCATAGCCTCTTGTACTGAATACAGATTCTTCATCAAGACTATCAGATGTTTTTAAGAGCATTCCATATCCTTTCATGATCTATGCAGTCAAAGGCCTTGCTAAAGCCTATAAAGCACATGCTGATTTTCTTTTGAAATTTCTTAGTGTGCTCCATTAGACATCATATATTTGTGATGTGGTCCCTAGTGCTTCTTCTTTTCCTGAACCTTGCTTAGACCTTTGGACTTCTGTACTGTCTCATAAAAAAAGGGTGCCCACTCAGTGGCAGAAGCTGCAAGACAGGTGAATGCATTCTCCTAGGAGGAGAAGGCACTGGGTATACAGCAATATGCAAAAAATGCAGAATTATCAGTGGTATTTCATACAAATCTTTTCATCAGAAATGGGCAAAGTATAGTCCATGGGCCACTGAGGCCCCAGTGTTGTTTCTGCTACCCATAACTCCCTTGGACTTACAGGAAGAAGAAAAATATATATATCATATTTTCTTCACTTAGAAGCTTCCAGGAACAGTGTTTTTGTGTTTTAAGATGCTGCAAACATTTTTTTAAAAAATAAAAATGAAACAGAGCACAATTATTACCTGTTCTTTTAATCAGAACCAGGCCTGCTGTGATCCACAGTAGGTTCTGGGAATGAAAAAGTGTATCTCATACTTCCAGTTATGAAATACACTTCCTCTTAACACTTAGGAAAGTCTGAGCTGAAAAATCTGTTATTTGTCCTGAGCCCTTGAGATGGGATGGGCTATAAATTAGTCATAGGACCTTATCAC